TATATATATATATACTGTCATTGAAAAGTTTGGGATCAGTAAGATTTGTAATGTTTTTTAATACACTTATATGATTTATTTTTGTGATCAAAGCTGTATTTCCAGCATCATTACTCCAGTCTTCAGTGTCACATGATCTTCAGAAATCATTCTAATATACTGATTTATTATCAATGTTGGAAACTGTTGCGCTGCTTAATATATTTTGGGAAGCTGTGATACTTTTCCAAGGAACAGCATTTATTCAAAACAGAATTAAATCTTTTCTAACAGTATCAGTCTCTACTGTCACTTTTTTTTTTAATCAATTTAACACATCCTTGCTTAATAGAAGTATTCAAAAACAATTTATAAAAACCTAAATGTTAACACACACGCACCTCAGGCAGCATGTTGTGAATGGCTGCATTCATTCTGTATGTGTGTTTTGTGTCCGTCTCATACAGGATGGTCTGATTGACGGCTGTGTTGCGTTTGGTGAGGAATAACGATCCCGTGGCGTTACAGCAAAACTGCAGCCTCATTCTGCCAAAAACACACAGAGAGCTTCTTATGAAAAGTTTATGAGGACTCATTTCACAAGCATTCAGCTCTCAATAAACCTATATATTGGCTATAATAATGACATTAAACATTATAAAATTACTCATGTTGAACTTTGAGACACTCTGAACTACTATGACGGATGTGAGTAATGAATGAAGCTACTAAAAGACAATTATTTAGAAATATCTACAAAACCATGCACTAATTCTCAGCCTTTTCAATTACATAAAACAATTTTTGCAAAACACAATTCTCTATGTAACACACACAAATCCAACAGGAATTAATATTATGGCAAAGGTGTTTGCTTTTGAGATGTGTTTGTGATATTTTGAATGCAGTGCTTCATTTTGCAAGAGATGCGAGGCGTTTTGCATTTTGTGTGTGTGATTCTTGCATTTGTGTGTAAAGTTTGAAAAAAAAAAAAAAGAGGCAAGGTTTTGAAAATGTGTGAAAGCAGCTGAAAAAAAACTGTAAATGGAGATGAAGACACACACGCACCTGTTTAGCTCCTGCTCGGTCGTGTTCGGTTTGTGCGGACACTTTAAGAAATCATCGAGTTCCTCTGTGAAACTCTCCATGTTTAGTCTGTATTGAAATAGAAATGACATGAATTGTTTAAAAGAACTCTGTCATCATGTATTCTCCCTCAGATGGTTTGTAATATTCATGAGTAAATTACCGTACCAAAATAAACCATGGTTTAATTACAATAAAGGTGTAGTAACCATGGTTTAATTTGTATAACCACAGTTTTACGACATATACCATGGTTAAACAATGGTTAGTATAGTAAAATCATCGTTAATTTAGGTTCAAGTGAGTTTTGGACTTGTCACGCAGCTCTTTTCCATACAAGGACAATTCATAACTCTCTATAAAACCCCACAAAAACAGCTATAAAAATGTCATAACAGTACTTCATATGACATGACAGGTTAACAGCCTGAAATAAGTTAATTAACTGGACTACCGCGACGTTTGAAACGTCAAGATTTCCAGTAACTTAAGTGCAAAAAGGCGGCTTGAAAAACCGAAACTTGCGAGTATGAGCAATATACACAGTTAAAGGGATAGTTGACCCAAAAATGAAAATTCTGTCATCGTTTACTCACCCTCATGTCGTTCCAAACCTGTACGAGTTGCTTTCTTATGTTGAGCACAAACGAAGATATTTTGTAGATTGCTGGTAATCAAACAGTTGGTGGTTGCCATTGACTTCCATTGTATTTTTTTTTCCTACTATTGAAGTCAATGGCAATCTTCAAAATATCTTCTATTGTGTTCAACATAAGAAAGCAACTCGTACAGGTTTGGAACGACATGAGGGTGAGTAAATGATGACAGAATTTTCATTTTTGGGTCAACTATCCCTTTAAGTGATTAGTTCACTTCTGAATTAAAATTTCCTCATAATTTACTCATCCAAGATGTTCATGTCTTTCTTTCTTCAGTCGAAAAGAAATTAAGGTTTTTAAAGGAAAACATTCCAGGGTTTTTCTCTATATAGTGGACTTCAATGGGGTTCACTGGGAGGAAGGTCCCAATTGCAGCTTCAGAGTGTTCTACACGATCCCAGACGAGGAATACTAATTTCTAAAAAAAAAAAAAATTACAATTTATATACTTTTTAAAGGGGTCATATGATGCTGCTAAAAAGAACATTATTTTGTGTATTTGGTGTAATGAAATGTGTTTATGCGGTTTAAAGTTCAAAAAACACATTATTTTCCACATACTGTACATTATTGTTTCTCCTCTATGCCCCGCCTTTTTGAAACGCGTGACTCTTAACTTTTATAAAGAATATCTCTTTGGATTTGAGACTTTAGTCTTTGCAACTTTACAGATCTTCTTTATGCACCAAGAGCTTGTAACACTCCAAAGAGAAAGGAACAATTGAAATCGCATCATATGACCCCTTTCAACTCAAACGCTCCTCTTGTGTAGCTGTGCAATGCGCATGCGTACTCTGTGCATTCTGGTTCATGACAGTTAGGGTATATCGAAAAACTCCCCTCTCATTTTCTCCGCCAACTTCAAAATCGTCCTACATCGCTGCAGAAGTACCGACCCAGTGTTTACAAAGTGAACGTGCAAAGAAGGTCAAACGCCCTTTACAAAAAACGGTAAAACAGCGATGTAGGACGATTTTGAACGATTTTGAAGTTGGAGGAGAAAATGAGATGGGAGTTTTTCGACCTACCCTAACTGTTTCGAATGGGACTGCACAGAGTACGCATGCGCATTGCACAGCTACACAAGAGGAGCGTTTGAGTTGAAAGGGGTCATATGATGCGATTTCAATTTTTCCTTTCTCTTTGGAGTGTTACAAGCTCTTGGTGCATAAAGAAGATCTATAAAGTTGCAAAGACTAAAGTCTCAAATCCAAAGAGATATTCTTTATAAAAGTTAAGAGTCAGCCACACC